TTTCTTTCCAGATCTCGTTACGACAATGGAGAACGTCGACGTATCTGCACAAATGCGGAGCAGCTTTGCTCAACGAGAATTGGGCAATAACGGCAGCGCATTGCGTCGAAAAGTTCGTATTACGTTCGCTATCGCGAAATTAATTAAATCCGAGAAAAAACGGAGTAACCGAGAGAGATCGAGGATTGTCGCTCCAATGTCACGTTTTATCCGCAGCGTACCACCCAGCGACTTGTTGCTGAGGATCGGCGAGCATGACCTCGCGAACGAGGACGAACCATACGGCTATCAAGAGAGAAGAGTTCAAATCGTGGCCAGCCATCCCCAATTCGATCCTCGGACCTTCGAGTACGATCTCGCTTTATTGAGGTTCTACGAGCCTCTGTTACCGTTCCAGCCGAACGTGTTGCCGATCTGCTTGCCGGACGACGACGAAACTTACGTCGGTCGTACTGCTTATGTCACCGGTTGGGGCCGGCTTTACGACGGTATCGAAACGACGTCATCATTTTTACAAATCTTCACGCGATCACGTGCACTCCGAGCGACGTATTAATTTGCGGACTTCGTTTACAGAGGGCCCGTTGCCATCCACCCTTCAAGAAGTGGCCGTGCCCGTGATAAATAACACAATGTGCGAGATCATGTACAGAAATGCTGGATACATTGAACACATTCCACACATTTTTATTTGCGCCGGATGGCGGAACGGAGGGTTCGACTCCTGCGAGGTATGCGAATTTCCTTCGCTTTTATAGATAGTCGCTGAAAATATATTGTACGAAACATTCCGAAGTTTCGTTAACGTACTAAAGAGACACGACGGTCGCTATTATATTAACGAAATTTTAAATCACCCTGAAAATTATACAAGTATGTCATTGTATTTGTTACAATGTCTACACGTTTCAATTAATTAGAATCTGACAAAATTATGCTTCGTTACAGGTGGTAAAGAATTAGCTTGCAGTCTGAAATGTATTTTTATCGTCAAAGATAATTGATTGTCAAAATTTTGTAGCTCTTTGAAATTCATTTAAGAATTTCTCGTGATTGTCAGCTTTCTTTCAAAATAAGTTTCGCATGAATCACGCGTTCAAATGTATTCGTGAGAAATTTCTCCGACTGTTGCGAAGCAAGACCTTTGTCCAATTCCATTTGTCCACCAACTTTTATGGTCACGTGCAAGAATTAAAACCGAAGGTTTATGATCGTTGCAGGGTGACAGCGGCGGACCTATGGTGATCCAAAGGGCACGCGACAAACGATGGATGCTGGCCGGGGTGATCAGTTGGGGTATAGGTTGCGCGGTCCCCAATCAACCCGGAGTTTACACCCGTATCTCCGAGTTCCGCGAATGGATAAACCAAATTCTGCAATTCTAAATTCCCGAGCAGCGGTGGGGGGCCGCCTATCGTTTCAAAAAGTGATGATGATTGCTGGAGACCAGCACGATCCGAAGGATGTACGAGCTGCGTGCGATGGCAAATCTGCGCGCCTGTACATAATATAACATAGAACGACACAGTTTCCCTCGTGGAAAGCTTTGCATGTGGCGAACATTGAGAAAGAGAAGAGGAGGAGAAGAGAGAGAAAAAAATGCGACGTATGAACGTACATGTTACGTCCCCGTGAAAATGTAATCAAACACCGTGCATCTATAGTAAGATTGACGCTTTGCGCCACGTGATTTATACGATCCATTGCGTGACGCTGTTACTATCCACGTGTGGGTGGATTTTTGATCGATCGTATCGTTTTACTCGCGCGTGTGTGTTTCACGTAGCTCCGAGCGTGAAGCTATGAAACGATCGTCCCGTTGATAAGTAATGCCACCTTTCGCTCGTATCACGATTTCAGTCCTCGAACTAGCGTACCGAGTCGACAGAATAGTGTTCTACGATGCCAACGGTATTCTCTCTCGCGGATACACGTTCGTTGAGCAGCCGCCACGTATCAACGATAAAGTGAATCTAACACCTGGATTTACGCCGATATTATCGACCAGCTTCCCGAGATGGACTCGACTCGCGTCCAGTAGCGAATATTACCCGAGCGAATCGTTCGAACTGGCCGATGATAACACGTATCCGTGACGCGATTTCTGCAAAGGTTGGACATTCAGCGACTAAACGTCACGATATCGCAATAAATTGCAATCCTTTGTAAAATAATGCAACGTCGACAGGAAAGTTGACGAGGGAAGTACGTATATATACGACCCAGCTTCTCGATCGTTCGCAAGTTCATTTTTACGTCTTCCACTGCTGCGTTTGTTAGAGCCTGATAAACGTGCAACGTGACCAACGATACTGAACTTTCGATATTATATTGTTAAGCAGCAGTCGAATGCTTAACATAATAGACAACAGTTAGAGTAAATATACTGTACAAATACTTCGAACGTTAAAGATTCGACTCTTCTAGCAATAGTGAGGTATAAATGAAGTTATCGAATCGCACAGAGACTGTTAAACGTATTACACGATTTAGGTTTTCTATTCGATATCAGACGAGCAAAACTCGATGCTACTTGCGTGCAATCTTTCGCAACAACTTGTCAAAATGCTGATTAATAACTTTCCAAATCGTTCTACTATTTGATCGATTGATTTAATCGATAGTAGGAGTGTTCACTATCTCTCCACGCTCACGCGTATTATTATGGAATAGCGATGTAGATCGATACGAGGAAACTAAAAAAGAAATCGATAACAGGAGAAAGAAAAGATGTGAACACATTTCCCGTCGAAAGATCGAAATTATCTGCAGAGAAGAAATTATTTAATTTAATTTATACGAAAATTCATATATATATATA